ATCATCAAGTAGTTTAAAATTCAACACCCCCCTCCTTGTAAACTTTTAAATACTGTACTGATTTTTGCTTTTTTTTCCTAGCCAATGTGCTCAGGTGAGCGATGTGGCCCATGGGCCTCTTGTTTTACATTGAATTTAAGAGTAGCAAATTTTAAACTCACAACCGACTTAACAAATTTTAGTCGATAGTCAATATGATTGAATGATAGTCGAATACTCGAATATTCATTGACACCCCTAATGAAACCATCAAACAGTGTTCAAAGATACTGTCACATTTTCCGTGTATTATTTGTAAAAAGTACTCTATTAAATAGATGTTTACATGCAGTCAATTTTGAGGATGTAATTACAAAATATATTATAAATAGGGATATTAATTAGGAGTTTTTTTTTCATGATTTCACAAAGGAAATGCACATAACTTATACATGTAGAAAATTTATTAGGGATGGCAATGGTCAACTGGGTAACCATCTAATCAGTCAGAAATATAGTAACCGGTTTAGTATGGGATGACGGGTTATGATTTTCATAACCAGTTAGTCGGTATTTTTTGTATAATATGTACTTTTTAAATAATATACCAGTATACATATTTTTTTTTTTAAAAATTACCACTAAGATCATGTAGATAGCATGTGTAAAACTAGTCTCATTCAAGCAGATGCTCGACTGTCTCCATAAACTCCTGCTCGTTGGAGTTTACGGAGACAGACGAGCATCTGCTTGAACGAGATTAGTTTAAAACTGAAAAGTTGCTATCGACTTATTAAATTATTCACAATATACAGCCACTGTGAAAACAAATCCCCATTATTTTGTCATTACAGTAAAACATGCTTATAAGTGCCAGGGACAAATAATTTTGATTCATTATAAATGTATTCATTTTTCAGTTTAGTTTTCAGTATGTTTTAAAACCACAGGGAATGAAAATCACTTCACTATATGCTTCAATTCCTTATTTAAGTCTGTTCGCAGTAAGCGGGTTTTACTGTATAACCCAAATACCACTCTAAGTTTACATACCCAAATCATAAAAAATTCTATATTCTAATTTCAAGAACTAATTTTTTACTAAACAATGTTTTACATGGTAATTAATCTAGTTCATTATCTGTAATGGTAGCCTAGTTGTAGGGTATTCATTTTGTAATCAGGAGGCCTGGACTTGATTCTCATTTGCTGTGTCAAACCTAAGACATAAACATACAGGTAATGAAGGTTCCTTCACCAAGCGCCAAGCATTAGAATGAAAGTCAAAGGTTTTTCAGATGAGACCTTAAAAACCTCACAGTAGATGTTGGGACAATAAAGAACCCTCACTACTCAATGGGCCTTAGTGCCAAGTATTAAGGTCTATGTTTGAAGCCCTTCACCAGTATGTGGTAATGTCTCTATACGAGAGAAAAATTCTCAAGTAAGGTGTAAAACAACATACAATCAATCAAAGTGTCAGTAAGAAGCTGATCCTTACGTCGCAGGTTCAAATCCCACAGCTGGATGTGGAGATAGGTTCCTCAGATGGAACCGTATGAATCGAGGTTCTGTGTCACAGAAGGTGCTGGCATGAAAAAGATCCCTCACTTCCCAAAGGCCATAAGTGTCAAGTACAGGTCTATATTTGCAGGCCTCCACCAGCAAGTGGTGGCATAATAAATATGACTAAAAGAAATTTGAAGGGGCAATAAACAAAACACAAATCAATCCTGCAGTCTTATCACAGAAATAATTCAAACTTTTACGTATAAATATATTTCCAAATTTCTTTTGCAATTTAACTGAGTGACATTTTTGAGATTTTCCAATAATAATACACATTTACTAACTGGGTTCGAGGGCAACATGTGTTTTGTCGGACCCAAGAACCAAACTGTTTGCCTGATGCCATTAGGCCGAAGGGAAACAGTTTGGTTCAAGGGGTCAGCAAATTGCATTTTACCCCGAGAACATGGTCAATAAATGTTTTGTTATATCTTTTACTTTCTTTTTTTGTTTGACATACATGTATTTTGTAGTGGCTTCCATGATGTAAATTTCCTTTACCAGCACTGAGGTAAAACTCTATCAATTCCGTAACTTTCGAACACCAACGAATGCAAATGAGATTTAACTAATCCCGCGCATACTGTAATATGTAAGCAGTCCAATGATCTCATCGACAGGTTCAATATCTCACTTTGCGGTTCAACATAGATTTTTTTATGATTGCTCATAAAACCTTGGAAATGTTAGACATTTTGAGTGTACACTGGTATAGATTTATATAAGAACAAATTTTTAAAGGTATAACAAATTATAATATTAATTAAGGCCCTAGTTATAACAGCTATTCATACTTGTTGAAGAATATATATAACAATAATTATCATGTTTATACATGTAGTATGTTAGATAGTGTATTGTTGAATTTTTGCATTTTTTTGTTTCAATTAAAAAAAAATAAGTCTTGGTGAAATTACATGCTCTCGTGCATTTAAATATAAGGTAAAGCAATGGGGATTTGACAATGTCATGTCAGGGATAACAGACAGAGACTGAACCATAAAATAGATAACATACATCAGTGTTTGTGCGTACATTTATACATTTGCTGGCATATACATGTAAACATCAGTGCTGTAAGCAGCTGTTAAATTTTAGATAAGAAAAATTCTAACCTTCATTTCCATGGTGCACGCCAATCATATATTAAAATGTCACCGTGAACTCTTTCATCACTCGCTACATTTATCACAGAAAACTCCGACACAAGACTGTTCATCGCTGTTAATGTGATCGTCAGAATTTCCTCGTAAACAATTTGCGCAAGAATATATATATCCCTTTAAAACTAATGCTCCCTGTACGCAACCAAGGATTTTATATGCTTCGAAGATCTGGATTAAACCTGCATGTCTACATACGGCTGGTACGTTAAGAAAATGTGCAACTGTCAACTTCACATATTTTCTTCTCATTTTCTGTGTGCAATTCCGACTTGCATGGCTACTTCCGGGGACGTACTAAAGACTTGATATACTAAAGACCTGATATTCGACCTGATGATTTTTTCAAAAAATAAAATAATCAGATTGAGTGTTAGACATGATTTATTTTTAAAAATTTTTGATTATGAAGCATTATGCTATACTAAACTACACTTTTTTTTTTAAATATTTGCCAACAAAGCATCAGATCAAATCACGTTTTTCGTATATCGGGTCTTTAGTGTCTTCTTCCCACAATGCCGCTCGTGATTGTTTACATCCAGGTTACAAACGAGAGGCCCCGATTAAGACTCTTTCTATACGGATGCATTTGTAAATGTTGATTTACCTTTACTTGTGTAAATAACTTGCATTTATAAACGATTTAAATAACAGAAAACAGAGAAATCGAATCAAAACAATTTATTTAAAACACAACAACTATCTAAAACCGTACAAGCATGTGTTACGTTGCCCTAAAAGGCGTGGCTGGTTTGTAGACAACTTGTTCCTGTACGATTCTCGAATAATTATTATATAAAATAGAATAAAATATAGCACGGAGCTTGTTTCTCTTTATACCACATGACAAGATTTAATATGTTAGAAATTATGTCATTCAAACTTTTTCATAATATTTTAATATTTTTAGCTATCCAAAAAATACTTTTATGACCTGCTGTCCCCTGAATATAGGGGCTAGCCCCTTTTTCTTGATGTTATCTGAAAGCTCTCGTAATTACACACAACTTTTATTCTATATGTCTTACCAAATTTTTATCAGTTTAAAAGTTATTAAACAAAAAGCAGCAAAATTTCATGGAAAAATAATTCTTAAAACTTGCCGTCACATAGCTTCCGAACTTAAAAAAATTAGCCTACAATTTTAATGTTCTGCGCATCTGCAATGTATTAGTTACAAGTTCTCCAGTTTTCATGCAAATATCATGTGTCGTTGTTGAGAATTCTACTGGACAAGAGACCCTCCAAATATCGATTGAAGGGCAATAACTCATGAACGGGGGTATATATCAAAAATTTGAAAAAACCGTTTTTAGGCAATAATACATTGTATCTACCCTGAAAATTTCATAGCAATCGGACAAAAGGTCTCCGAGAAATCGCCTGCTGAAAATCGGCGGGAAAAAAAAAATAAAATAATAATAAGAAACAGTAGAATAACAGTAGGGTCTTCCGAAGGAAGCTCGGAAGACCCTAATAATCTTAACCATCAGAATCAGTAGAAGGTCTTCCGTTGGAACGGAAGACCTTAAATATTTCCAGTAATGAATTTCCTTGCAGTAAAACATATATATGTATAAATTTTAAAATGTATGTTAATAGTGATATAGAAGTTTAGGATGGTACATGTAGTTCAATTTATCAAAAATGTCTTCAGACAGATCTACATAAATAAAGCACCTGAACCAAGATTCCTATAACTTAGTTGCATTGGTTATTCATTTTAATTTGATCCAGAAAGTTTAGTTAAATTGGGAAATAGCAGATGCCTTGTAATTTTCAAATAACTTCTTAATGCTTTAGGCAAGATGCAAAACTAGAAACATAATTGTTAGTGCATCATCCCTGCATTATTGGTCCAGGCGGGACAGGGTAGCTAAGAAATACCATGAAATAGATCTGCTTCAAAAACTTGAATTTGTGATGTCAATGCTGGGGATTTAACGTAAACTCTCCAAAACTTTGTCTAGGAGAGCAAAATTTTGCAAGTTATAAGTACGCTCTTTTTTTATCTACTCACAATGAAGTTGGAGGGGATATAGTAATGTTAATGTGTGGGTGAGTGGGTTTGTGCATAAAGGAAGTTACGCAAGTTGTAATTTATATTGAGATCAGTGTGCTCTTTTGCAAGGGGATGCTCTCCTTTGCAGTACCCTTGTTAATTTTGTTTCATTAGGTATCAAATATGTTCAGATCAGTAAACATACACTGATGAGTAATGAGTAAAACATAGTTACATTTCTTTGAGCCATTGACATGATATATAGTCATATAAAGCAAACTCACCCAATAGAGAATTAACACAGAGACAAACTGGGTCAAACTGTAACAGGCCATATACTTAAAAATCCCAAACGATGTCACCAGGGCTCCTCTTCCCTGTCTAAAAGAGAAACATAACATCAGCAACAAATATTTTTCAAAAAACTTTAAGACATAAAATTGTGAGAATGGTAGATTTATATTGCTGACCAGTTATGAGTGATGTTTTGTGCTTAGAAAATTAAACATGCAATGTGGCTATTGAAAAATTCAAAGAATTTAAAAATGTATAATGGCTGTGTAAGAAAGAGCTAAGGAAAAATTAATGGTGATGTCCTGCGAGGTTCTGCAATATATTAATGCTTAAATCTTAATCTTTGAAAAAGTGACAGAAAAATTTAAAGAATTAGTTTTTTTAACCTTCCCCATACATCTTGTCATAATAAACTGAAATGTTGGATAAAAAGTGGCTGAATTCTTGCATCATTTAAAACTATGAAAGAGCATATGAATATCTCATTTTCAACCTATTTTCCTGGCAGTAATCCTAAAGTTCATAAATGCAACACTTTCTTCAACCATGCTTCACTTCAGTAGTGAATATGAAATGATAGGTAGGCAAGTATTCAAGTTATCACATATCACTTTAAGAACTGAAAGACATATCATCTATCTTAACTAACATTATATATGACCTTGAGCTCTGCACAGAATGCTTTGAAAATTAAGAGACACACGTATCCCAATTCATAAGTTCTGATTTAAGCTTTATCCTACCTTTTCTTTGGCTTGCAGATGAATATCATACAGCATTTAGATATGATGTTGCTTGCATGGTTTTCTTGAGATAACCAGATGAGTCTATATATAGACCATTCAGTATTAGGTTGTTTAGATATGATCATTGTTAAGGACTGTGTTTGGCTGGTTTTCTTTATATTAATCAATGGGTGTTAACACATTCAGTATTAAGTTGTTTAGATATGATCAATATTTAGGTGTGTTTGTTTGTTTTCTTGAGCTTTCCTGTTGAGTTTTTGGATGCATCCAATATTAGACTACTTAAATATGAACAATATTTAGGACAACATTTGGTTGTTTTTTTGTTTTTGTTTTTACTTATTTGATGAGTTTGGGGATGCATTCAGTATTACGCTGTTTGGATATGATCATTATTAAGGACAGTGTTTGGCAGATTTTCTTGAGCTTACCCTAAGAGTGTTGGGACACATCCAATATCAGGCATTTAGATATGTCATCATTTAGGAGAGTGTTTGGTTGGTTTTCTTGAGCTTACCAAATGAGTGTTAGGAAACATCCAATATTAAGTTTTTTTTTTTTTACTTTTCATCATTTAGGAGAGTGTTTGGTTGATTTTCTTGTGCTTACAAGATGAAGGTGCCCACACATTCAATATAAGGCTGTTTAGATATGATCATTATTTAAGACAGTGTTTGGTTGGTTTCCTTGAGCTTTCCTGATGAGTGTGGGGACACATTCAATATTAGGCTGTTTAGATTTGATCAATATTAAGGGCAGTGTTTGGTTGGTTTTCCTGAGCTTACCTGATGAGTGTGGGGACACATTCAATATTAGGCTGTTTAGATGTGCTCATTATTAAGGACAATGTTAGGTTGATTTTCTTGTGCTTACAAGTTGAAGGTGCCCACACAATCAATATAAGGCTGTTTAGATATGATCATTATTTAGGACAGTGTTTGGTTGGTTTTGTTGAGCTTACCTAATGAGTGTGGGGACACATTCAATATTAGGCTGTTCAGATGTGATCAATATTAAGGACAGTGTTTGGTTGGTTTTCCTGAGCTTACCTGATGAGTGTGGGGACACATTCAATATTAGGCTGTTTAGATGTGATCATTATTTAGGATAGTGTTTAGCTGGTTTTCCTGAGCTTACCTGATGAGTGTAGGGACACATTCAATATCAGGTTGTTTGGATGTTATCATTATTTAGGGCAGTGTTTGGCTGGTTTTCCTGAGCTTACGTAATGAGTGTGGGGACACATTCAATATTAGGCTGTTTAGATTTGATCATTATTTAGAGCAGTGTTTGGCTGGTTTTCCTGAGCTTACCTGATGAGTGTGGGGACACATTCAATATTAGGCTGTTTGGATGTGATCATTATTTAGGGCAGTGTTTGGTTGGTTTTTCCTGAGCTTACCTGATGAGTGTGGGGACACATTCAATATTAGGTTGTTTAGATGTGAATGGAGAAGCTACAGATGCCTCTGCTTCTGAGAGTGAGATACCAGCATGAGCTGTCTTCAGGGCTCCACAGTCATTAGCCCCGTCTCCACACATACCCACAAAGTACCTGTCCATACACACCAAGAGAGAAGCATGGAAGAAAAGTTAGCAATGAGTTGACAATGAGCACAATATCAAGTATTTTATAGCATTCATAATGTCAAATGATTTATTTTTAAAACTCTGTGAATCAAAAAAGAAAAGCTACCCTAGTTCCTGGAGTACTTCAATAAGCTGGGATTTCTGGTCAGGTGACATTCTGGCAAACACTGTACCTCTAGTGCAGATCTAATTAAGGCACATTCTCAAGCATTCAACATACATATACATGGTTATTGTCATTTGAATTTATTTAAGAAAAAGTTGCTGGAATATAGTTATCAAAATTAATATGTCCCTAGAAAACTTTCTTGAACAGAAATACAATAAAACTCAGTCCAAGGGACCTGTGAATTTACTTTGCTTTATCCACTTCATTATATCCATATTATTAATTCGTTAAAATATATAGCAAATTTGCAATAGACTTGTTTTTCTTCAAGTAATTAATATAATTTATAATGACTACTGTATATGTTCAGGGAAGTATTGAAAATTTGCTTAATTCCTATTAGTACTAAACAAGTTTTACGGCATGCTAGAAAAAAAAAAGAAATCAATATGGAGACAAATCAATGGATGACTTACTTTTTGCAGTAGTAATGGAAAGTGATTTCTGACAATAGCCCATGATTTTCCATCCATAGCAAAGTGAAAGTAAGAATCGGTGAAATCCCCATCAGGCATGGCCAATCTTGTCTCCTGTTGGTAAAGAAAACCTTGAGCACCTGCATTTTTATACATTTATTACATACAGTACAACCTATATTCCAGAAGATTTCTAAAGTGGAGCTTCTTTCAGTCACTGCTTAATTATTCAAACAAAATCATCAACTGATATACTCTAGTGTTGTAAACTTAAAGACATAAAACAGATCACTAACATTTGGTGACAATGCAGCAGTAGACAAAAAAAAAATCTACTGCTCCATTCTGCCACAGTGTTGGTGATCGGTTTTATGTCTTTAAGTTCACAACTTTGGATACAGACACTGTTAAATATTGTTCAGTATCCGCATGTGGGAATCTCCCAAGCATTTTCAAGCTTCAGGTGTTGGTTTCCAGTTTTTCTTTGTTTTGTATACTTTTAGTGTGTAATAAACACATGATAGCCCTATAATCATGAGAGTAAGGCACAAATGTAAAATGTAGATCACAGTATAGTGATATCCACTATATCTGACATGTAAACAGTTTTGATTTCATCCAATATCTGACGAATGCACTCAAATTACACCCCAAACATAAGTGCGAAAATTGAAATACATCTACCTAAAATAAGTACATGTACATTACTTCAGTCTACAACAGGCTATTTAAGTAAGATGACCAGGGCCACATCACTCATTTTCCAACTTTGTAATACTATAGAGAATTTAACTGAAAAACAGATCTGCAGATTTTTCTGAAAATAAATTTGGGTATTTGCAACACATAGAGAATTTTTTTTTTCTGGACATTTTTCAAGAAACTTTCAGGGATGAGCTATACATTGTTTGTACTATAAGAGGCACACTATACAGGTGATTTTACAAAAGTAAAAGTAACAAAGCACTCACGGTAGACTTTTCATGTACACGATCCTCTGGATCTTCAGTGTACATGTACTCCAGCCAGGGGTCATTTTTACCTGGCGTCCCAGGAAATGCTTGGACCAAGATGATTTTCTGATTTTCATTGACCATTCCACATTCTCGGGCCACACTCAAGGCTGTCAACATGTTGTCACCTGAAAAAGGCAAAAATAAACTTTGATTCATATTAGTAGTATAAAAATTACTTACGATTCATCATTTAATTTTGCAAATAACTAAAAAACAAGAAAGGTTCTTTTAGTACAATGATATTAAAAAAACACACACAAATTTCTGCTTTTAGTTTGAGGAGAATTCTTGGTGCTAGGTACCTGTGACCATGACGGTCCTAATGTCTGCATCTAGAAGTTTGTGTATTATAGGGGTTGTTTCTGGCTTCAGTCGGTTCTCAAGCACCAAGAATCCCAGGAAAGTCAGGTTTCTCTCCACTTGCTCTCTGAGATTTTGCAATCACAAAACAATAATTAACCAAGTGAATAAAAGCCTCAGTATATATATTAACATAAAATAGCTATAAAAGAATAAGGATTTTAAGTCTAAGAATGTTTTGCTGACATCTGTTGGAGTACATACCTCTGAATTCTCTGTAATTTTGCATACTTCAATTTTGTTGGAAGAGATCTGTATGCAAGGGCAAGAACTCTGTAACCATGTTTTGTGTAATTGATTAAGACCTTGTGAAAATTGCTTGGTACTGAAAATAAAATTGTGATGTAAATTAAATGTTCTGCCTGATAGGACAAAGAAACATCCTTCAATCCAACATTTTATTTTTACCTGTCTCAGATTTAGATAGGGAGGCAATCATCTCGGGGGCCCCCTTTGTATAGAGTTCAAAGTTTGGGGCTCCTAGTTTACGTGTTATGACGGACATTCTCTGCAGACTGGAGGCAAAAGTGAACTGCCTCATGATGGCTATCTCTTCATACTTTGGCTAAAAAAAATGAAATTTTAAACTTATTTTTATCATTATTTTTATTTTTCAAAAATTGCATCCATTTTTAGAGTAAGTCAGATGACTTTACTTTATATAGTTAATTTTGCATGTTATTAAACTATTAATCCTGTATAAACTTTTGTGCTTAGTCTAATATTCCCCTGAAGCCTTCATATAAGACCTCACTCTGAAAGAATTAATGTTCAAGGAAAGCAATTCTTTGTAGCCTGATTAAGCAAGGTGAACATGGCCATGACTGTTCTAATCAGATTATAAATTTAACTGTTCATCAAACAGTCTCTGGATTTAACTCCTTTATGACTTCTGTCACAGTAGTAAGATCCTATATCCTGTTTAATCTAGCTTGCTTTATACTGTACATTGAATATCTTGGTGTCATTTACAGATTTAGCTCCCTTTGGTCTGACTCTGGTGAGAAAAATCTGTAAGAAACTTAATGTGACCTATTCATTAAAAATTTTCTTGCTTTCCCTTGAATTATCTTACTTTGATTGACTATGGTGTGGAGAATCTACACGAAAACTTGCCATGAATTGTTCAATAAAGAGCTCTTTATTGTCCTCAAAATTAACTCCCTTTGGTCTATGTTGCATAAGAATCCACAAGATCTTACATGAACTGTTCATCAAAGAACTTCTTGTTGTTCCAGGAGTTAACTCCCTTTAGACAGACTATAGTGGGGAGCATCTATAGGATCATTGTACCTTGAAATATTCATCAAAAAGCTTTTTATTGTCCCCAAAATTAACTCCCTTTGGTCTAACTATAATGGGGAGCATCTATTAGATCTTACCTTGAACTGTTCATCAAAGAGTTCCTTGTCGTCCTTGACATTAACTCCCTTTGGTCTGACTATGGTGGGGAGCATCTATTAGATCTTACCTTGAACTGTTCATCAAAGAGTTCCTTGTCGTCCTTGACATTAACTCCCTTTGGTCTGACTATGATGGGGAGCATCTATTAGATCTAACCTTGAACTGTTCATCAAAGAGTTCCTTGTTGTCCTTGACATTAACTCCCTTTGGTCTGACTATGATGGGGAGCATCTATTAGATCTTACCTTGAACTGTTCATCAAAGAGTTCCTTGTTGTCCTTGACATTAACTCCCTTTGGTCTGACTATGGTGGGGAGCATCTATTAGATCTTACCTTGAACTGTTCATCAAAAAGTTCCTTGTTGTCCTTGACATTAACCCCCTTTGGTCTGACTATGATGGGGAGCATCTATTAGATCTTACCTTGAACTGTTCATCAAAGAGTTCCTTGTTGTCCTTGACATTAACTCCCTTTGGTCTGACTATGGTGGGAAGCATCTATTAGATCTTACCTTGAACTGTTCATCAAAGAGTTCCTTGTTGTCCTTGACATTAACTCCCTTTGGTCTGACTATGGTGGGGACAATCATATCATATCTGCTCGCTTCCTCCTCTCCTGGCTCCTCTAGATCCTTTTTAGTCAATTAAAAATTTAGGTCATGACCTTTTTTTTTCTCTATTCACATAATAGATAAAATATTCCTCAAAAAAATGAAGAATCACCATAAACTTTTCTTCATAGAATTGACTTGGAAAAATGTAATTTATTCTTGAGATACTTTTAAGAGTAATAGCAAAGCTACACCTATATATGGCTGGAAATAGCTAATTCTTAAAATATGTATAAAATTGAAGCAAAGCTGTATATGGTTGGTAACACTAATTCAGAAAGTGCAGAAATACTTGAGGAAATACACTGTCATTTTTAATTTCTTTTCATTGATTTCTTATTTTTTAATCACATACCCAGTTGGTGGCCTCAAACATGATGAGGTCCAATGGGTCCCCACTGAGGATCCCATCAATCATCGTCAGAGAATGACAGGTTGCCATGGCATTCAGAAGAAGGCTCTGTTTAGCTGGGAGGAGCTTTATATCATGAACCTCCTCAGTAAAACTGTGCGATATTTACAGCTTGATCTCAAAATGTACAGTTCAAGGTTCAATCAAATTGTAAATTCTATTATTATACCAGTATAACAATATGGACTTTATCAAAGGATTTGTGAGTTATAGTTATTATTAAATGAGTTCAGATAATCCAATTGGGTCTTGCTAAAAAGTACTTCATATATCTATGGATAATAAAAAATTCTGACTCTGACATTTGTCCTACCCGCCATCTTGTACAGGGACAACACTCTGCATGTTTAGTCCATCCTCTGTCAGCGTGCCTGTCTGTAATCATGACAATAAAATTAAACAAAGAAAATCTTTAATATTCTTTGGAAATAAACATACTCATGTAAATTACTTAAATTATTCTGAGCTCAAACATCTCTAAGAATCTGCAGAGAAAGGATATACTCTTGATAGATTCATGCTTTTGATTGCTCTCCTATAAATTAGTAATGAGTGGCAGAATTTAAATTATCAAACCTTATCAAAGCATACAACATTGATGGTTCCACTGATGTTGATACTATGTGGACTGATGCAGTAAATCTGACTTTTCTTAAGGCGACTCTGAGCAAACACAATCCCAATAGTAAGGGCTGCTGGCAGGGCTGGAGGCACAGCAATGGTGATCAAATCCATAGAACGAAGGAAGATATCTTCAAAGAGTTCAGATTCTTGCACCTGGAACATTAATTAAAATCAATTTTCAAATTGAACTTTTAATGACTTTCTGAAAAAAAAATTTCCTCTAGTGAGTGAAACATAAATACCCTTTGAAAATGTCTAAAATATGGATCCAACCATCTATTATACATCTTAATTTGATTTTCTTCATTCCCAATTATTTTTTTATTCTAGCCCTGATAATAATACTGTACCATCAACACCACTGTGTAAATAAATCCAATTCCAGCAATTCCTGCTAGTATGGCCACAAATATGTATGTGTCTCTGTTGAATTTAAAATCCACAGGTTTGGGATATAAGATGGAGCGCACCAATTCTCCTTTGGCTGTTGAAAAACCTGATATCAAAATACAAAGGACCTCTTCATCAGATCAGCACAATAAATATACACAGGAATTTTACAAAAAAAACCCCGAATATCATTAGCTTATACACAAGAAATAAAGCACTGCTATACAAAAGTAAAATTACTGTTAAAGATCAAATATTTCTTTGCAATTGAAAAAGTTTGGTATAATTTGAAGAGAAGCAGTTGAAATAAGGAAGACAACTTGTTTAATACTACAGGAGTCGGTGTATCCAAAATTTTAAAGGTATTTTCAGTAAATAAAAATATGTAATACCTAATTATTATAGGTTATTATGTATTTTTTAAATTTACTGAAAGTATCTTTAAAATTGATGGGTAGGTCGATATTTGTGATATTTACCTGTCCTCAGGACTACGGCCCTGACCTGCTGGGAACCGTAAAACCTGGTCTGTAATATGTGTGTACCACAGAAAAGAACATGCTTTGAGTGGTCCTTCAGATTAAATAGGATATCCTCCTGAGACTTTGACAGTTTAGGGTTAGGAAGTGGAGTTTTAGTTACGGGTACACTTTCTCCTGCAAATTAAAATTATTAATTAGATGAAGTAACATAATGAAACCTTTTAAAATCATGAAGACACAAATTCATATACACTATAATACCTCTTTTCAGTTTTTCTGGATTTTTCCAAAAACTCTACAGTCATATCAATAAAGATTAGGGGGAGCTAATTCTGTAACAAAGGGTGGTGCACCTATGGATGCTAACTATCATTCATTCTTCCAATGCTGTGACTCTGACCTATATTTTTCAGATGAGTGGCTAAGTAATGGTAAAAGATTTTAGAGTAGGACCACCTCCACGGGTAAGTATAATCTCTACCTAGACTGAACCTTCCACAAGCATCCAGAAAAGCACATAACTACCTTGGATGCTGTTATTGTCAGATGTGTAACTTAAACACTGTATTGATGAAATTAGCTTATATACATCTATTGGTACTTAATGAACATTCGTTGATATGACATTTTGTTTCACCTACAGGTGACACACAGTGAGCCCTGTTTATCTAGTTTTTTTCTCCAGTCTGAAAGTAAATAAATAACCAATTCACATTAGTTACCTGTGAGCATACTCTCATTAACTATACAATTTCCAGTCAGAAGTACTGCATCACACTGCATGATACAGCCATTTCGTGGGATGGAGATGATGTCCCCAGGAACAAGATCATCAGAGCAAATGTCCTGGTATGCTATAAAAAATATATATAGAGGTAAATGTACTGGTGTTTTACTCTGCACAGCAGAAATAAGGTTAAAAAAAATAATAGTGTAGATGCATTTTAAATTCAGATGCTTTAATGAAGTGTTAATAATCTTACTATCTCCAGTCAGTTTAGTCACAATGGTGGATGATTCTATAGTGTTTCTTAAAGCCCTTTGCATCTACAACATAGATAGTAGGAATTTTATCAGTGAACTATATAGGATTTAAACTAAAATATTGAAATAAAAAGTCAGGAAATGTGAAGTCTAGTTAAAAAGTCACATATGTACATACATGTTTGAAGCTTAATCAAAATAACATCAATTATAGCTTCTTCAAAAATGACTTCATGCAATGCTGTGACAAAGCTAAACACAAAATGGCATGATGAGTGGACAGGTCCAGGACAGATAGCTAAGGGCTGGGCCAGAAACACTGACATAAAAACTAAATCTGCCCTGGTCATATGTGTACCAGAGCACATTATGGTTCATATCATCAATCATGTAAATTTTGTACTTATGGTTGAAATGAGCTATCTACTGTAGATTCCTAAATATTAGGGATGTCAATTTTGTCAATAATTCATATTCGAATATTCAATGAAAGTATTCGAATATATTTGAATATTCGATAAAATGAATAAAATCTGTTGTATTTTAAATATGCATCATCCTACTTTCATGAAAGGTTTAGCGTAGGTATACTTATCTTGGAAGTAAAATTGTATGAAGACTTTTGTAGGTGTACAATAAAATTACATTTGATATTTGTCAATGTTTGAAATAAATAATTGATTTAAATGTAGAATGGTATAATTTTTGTATATTTTGTAGTTCCAACTGAGGAACCAGTCATCTTACCAAAGGCAAGATATAGTCGTAACGGTATACTGATCAGATTTCAATACTTGTTTTTAAAATATAATTAAATATTTCCATAGACAATTTTCCCAGGTAATTAACTAATTTACCGATAATGAATATAAAACTCAGGATTTTGTACAACCCGAGATAATCAAGTAATTTACACATTTATTCTGAAATTGAGCCCTTTACAATATTAATTACAGACTAATTCTATATCGGACATTCATTTAATGATCAATTAAATTTATTTAGATAAGTATTTATACTCTTCACTTTTTAGACCTTCGAAGAAGGTTTTCATTTTGTTGTTCTCTTTTCTAGATCCGATCGTATTTAACTTAAGAAAACTATGAAAGTACATATGGCATTCTTGTACAATTCATTAACACCTTACTCAAAAGAAAATACATGTAATTTAGTAGATCTATAAGATAAGAAAGTAGTGAAAGAAATCAGGCGATCGAAATTGATCGCTATAGTAAATTAAACAGGGATAATTCCAAAATTTATTAATCACAGTACTTCTTTTTCTGAAATCTGAAAACACCGAATATTCGAATCTTAAATTCATATTCGAATATCAACTCATCGAATGAATATTCGAATGTTCGAATATTCGTTGCCATCCCTACTAAATATACGCGAGGAATTAATTATCGCGTAATTTCGCGAGAAGAACCACTCGCTAAATAAAATTACTCATTTTTATTTTTATGGTGTTGAAGTCAATGTAAAATCTCTTGATGAACTGTCTACTCGCAAATTATTGTTCTCACCATTTGACGCTCAAGAGCCATTTCGTGATAATAAGCACTCGCGAAAAATAAGGAATCTAGAGTATTTTGCCAATGACAGGGAAAAGATATTATCTTTTGATTGTAATGTAGAAAAAAATATAAGAAGCAGAGAACCTTTCTGGTCTGGTAAATAGTGGCAGTGATGGAGACAACAGAAATGACAACAATACAACTGGCATAGTAGTAATATTCATCTGCAAACCAAATCCCACAGCTGAACAACTGGAAGATGTAGAAAGGTGACAACACCTGTAAAACAACAAACAACCATCACCTAAGTTGTTTTCATTCCAAAAAGCTCATGAAACAAGGTAAAATTACTCCAAGTTAGGCCTGATATAGAAAATGATTCTGTTTCTTTCTCTCATGGCTACATAATGTAAAATTATTATCTGCCATTAAAGAAAATTATAAGATGACAATTAAAGGACCTAAATATTTCTTTCACACTCAAACTTTGTAGGAAAATAAATTACCCAGAGGAACAACTACATGTATAAAGATTTTTTCCGCAGCTAGATTTTTCTACACCAATTACAAAAGAAAGATTTCATTAGATCTCATATACCTCTTTAAAAAGGAGTCTGATAATTGGGGTGACATGAATCTGAATGGAATTTGAACCAAACATTGTCATTCTGAAAAAGATAGAAATTACATACTATCATAACAGTCAGCAACATTTTCTCTTCAAATGTGGCAAAATTTTCGAAGGAGGCAAGCAAAAGAAACAAATAATGTATGCATGAGCATGTGAGCAACACAGAATTCCTTCAGATATGAATAGGATTACAATCAGGCTTCAGGATCACTGTCCAGGAAGATTTAGCTTTTCATTGGTGTGACATGGATCATATTCAAGGACTTTCAGTAATAAATATTCATGAATTTTTTTTTTTAATCAAGATGTTCACTTAATTCATTTAATACATTTATCTTGTTTAACACTTCGAAATTAGCGATAATTTTCTTGAAAAGATAATTTTAACTACCCTGAGACATATTTTTATGCGTATCACATTTTTTAAAATATGCAAAATTATGAACCATATAAAAAAACTAAAAAGTTAAAAATAACAGACCTTTCTTGTTGTTGAGCATAATTCAGTCCTTTGCATCCATGGAAATATGAACACTTTGTGTTTTTATCTAAACCTCTACAACAGGTTAAGACAGTTTGATTTTTGTTCTGGTGAAAATGTTACTAGTAATTTTTTTTAAAGTATAATTTGACAATTTTAATTATAAGTAACTAAGTTTTTAAAGTCCCATTCAAAAGCTACATGAAAACTTGCCCTTGACTCTTGGTTTGACAACCTTTTTTTTTTTAAGAAAAACTGAATTACTGTTGTCAGCTACAATACCAATGATGCACTAATTCTCTAATGATTTTCTGTAGATTAAGAAAACAATTTAAAGTTGAATGAATAAGCTAGAAATAGTCCTACTGGTTTGAAATACTCACTCTAATTTTTTAAATGTTTGAGAATCACTGTTCCAGATGTACTTGACTTTTTTTGTGATGAAATAGCGGATCAGACCCCGATTTAACTAAAACAAATCAAATTGTATCAATTAGCAAAATGAATTAAATACTTTTTTATTGAAAAAAAAATCACCTTGACAACACTGTAAGGTTTGGGACTTGAAATTCTGCAGTCACTGTATTTAACTAACAAGAGGCCCATGGGCCACATTGCTCACCTGAGTAACTTTGGCCATGCTGTTCTTTACCAGATTTCCCCCCTTGTAATACCTATTGTGGCCCCGCCCTACACCCGGGAGTCATGATTTTGACAATTTAGAATCTACACTACATGAGGATGCTTCCACGTAAGTTTCAGATTTTCTGGCCCAGTGGTTCTTGAGAAGAAGATTTTTAAAGATTTTTCCTATATATTTTAATGTAAAACTTGGGTTCCCTATTGTGGCCCCGCCCTATCCCCGGGGTCATGATTTGAACAATGTAGAATCTACACTATCCGAGGATGCTTCCACATAAGTTTCAGCTTTTCTGGCCCAGTGGTTCTTGAGAACAAGATTTTTAAAGATTTTTCTTACATATTTCAATGTAAAACTTGGATTCCCTATTGTGGCCCGCCCTACCCCCTGGGGTCATGATTTTAAAGATTTAGAATCTACACTATCCCAGAATGCTTGCACATAAGTTTCAGCTTTTCTGGCCCAGTGGTTCTTGAGAAGAAGATTTTTTAATGACCCCACCCTATTTTTGTCTTTTCTTGATTATCTCCCCTTGTAAGGGGACTTGGCCCTTTATTTTAACAATTTAAACTCCTCTTTGCCCAAGGATACTTTGTGCCAAGTTTGGTTAAAATTGGCCCAGTGGTTCTTGAGAAGAAGTTGAAAATGTTAAAAGTTTACAGACGGATGGACGGACAGAGGGACGGACGGACGGACAACAGGTGATCAGAAAAGCTCACTTGAGCTTTCAACTCAGGTGAGCTAAAAAATTGGCACAGTCAGAAAGGGCCCAACTAATAGGGCTGTCATAGGAAAGTGACAATTTAATTCATTTATTAATTTTTAGAACACAATATACAACATAAGGAAGATGACATGGAAAAATCACTGATACAGTTAAACTTCAGTATCTCAAACACTGATATCTCGAATACCATGGATATGTCAAAGTGAATTAATTGGAAGTCTCAATTCTTTAAGTTCTGGAATACTCGGAGTTTTTTCTCGGTTCCATAGAGTTCGAGATAACAAGATTTGACTGTATATGTTTATAACTATTATCTGAGTTATCACATCAATACAAAAGTATTGACAGACAGAGAAAGAGGTGGAGAAACCACAAAATGAAGGTCTTTCTCACATGATTAATGCCTTCTGTATAAAATTTGAATTAGTTGTATTAAAGACTGAGAAATCATGACCAATATACATTCAGATATATACATATATAAAGACAGATAAACAAAGTGATATGACTCCAAAATTTATAAGTGTAATCCTCTTATACTAAATACTTCTGTACAATATTTGGGAATGTTACAATGAACTGTTTGGCATGCATTATCATGTCAAAGTGTTCACGGATATAGATTCAGACACATATATAGACAGAGAAAGGAATATGACCCTAAAAAGTAAAGGTCACTGTGTCCTCTTCTCATACATGTAGTTAAGTACTTCTGTACAAAAATATGGAAACATTTCCTTGAACCATACATTTAGGATATGTCAAAACAAAAGTTTTCATGGATATTAACATTCAGATACACATAATAACAGACAGACATATAGGTTCCATAATTTGGGCCACTTAGTTACTGGTTTTTCTCCAACTTGAGTTCCTAATCTTTTTAATTGTCAATAGACATGACACTTGCTTGAATGGTTACCCATCAAAATCAACATACATGTATATTTACCATAACCAGAAATAGGTGTTTATATATATAGTTGATTAATCATGGCAGTCAATTGCAAGAAAAGTGATGAAAACAAAGTAATATTATATCCTCTATATATGTGTACGTAAATTAGTATAAGATATCAGTATTATAACATTTTCAACAGCGAAATACAGTTGAACTTTGCTATCTTGAACTCCAATATATAGAATACCATGGATATGTCGAAGTGATCTTAAAGTCCCAACAACGTTCTTTTTTGACATAATTTATCCTAAGTATCTTGAACCCTCAAATATCTGAAAGTTTTTTCTTAGTCCTGTCAAGTTCAAGATAACAAGGTTTGACTGTACTGAAATTTATCAATGGAATATAAAAGTGATATTTTTTCACACTGTGAAAAAATATCAGAAGTGTGGCAAAACTCTCAATTTTCTTTCACAAATAATGTTATAAAAAATACTCCCTAGCCTGTTATAAAATAGTGAGAGCAAATAAACCACTCTGACATGGACTAAAACAGCCAAAATTTCTCTAAATTGTTAAAATCCATGTTTACAATTTCCATTCTCACAATTGCTTAGCCATGTCCCACAATCGCTCTGATGATGTCACAACCTATGATACTATGTTAAAAAATGGCAGAGAATTGAATAAGCAATTTCTTTCACTCAAGAGACAGTTTTTTTTTTTCATAATTTTTATAATTTCTGTTAGATCCATGGGTAAATTATGCAGATTTCTTGGACTGCCTTTTGCATATCTTAACACTGTAACAAATAGTCATAGTACTACTGTGCCAAATTGTGATGCCATGCAATGCCAAGGTCCAATGACTTTAAATAAATACAATTAAAATGCAAGGACAAACTCTAATCTCTTGGATAGGTGCGAGACTAGCCCTAATTGGTCAAAAGTAAAACCTAGCTATCTTCGGCAGGTGAAAGACTAACCCTAATCAGTCGAAGAGTTGTGAGGACTAATCCTAAATCTCTCAGGTTGGTGCTCTCCTATAACCAGTCCAATAGTGTGCGAGGACTAACCCTTATCAGTCGAGTGGTAAGCGAGGACTAACCCTAATATATCTCTGGTGGGTGCAAGCAATGAGTAAAACCAGTGAAATTGTATGCCAGGACAAATACCAAATTGATGGCTTTTGAATGCAGGACAACGGCGTCAAGGATTGACGTCGGAATATTATGACGTCATAAACGTTGTTAGTTTCTCATTTAACATTGGACTTTGGCGTATCAGACCATCACATTTTATCACAGCTCGTCTCATAGGAAACAAGCCATTGGGCTCTGGCATGACCACAGAACTTTGGCGTCCATACCTCCATCAATCCAATGGGGTTTGGCGCAGACCATCGGGGTTTTGCGAGACCATCGGACTTTGGCGTCACCATCGGACTTTGGAGTCTTACATATATGCAAATAATATTTGGTTTACTCTCTCTCTCCATATATATATATATATATATATATATATATATATATATATATATATATATATATATATATATATATATATATATAAGCACACAGCTAGACTTTTTCAAACCATTTTTCTGGATAATGTTTAAGTCAACTAATGCATTCAAAGACATCATGCAGAGCACTGAATAAGAAAATTACAAGCAGAAAGCTACCGACACAATAAAGTATCAATTACTTCTAAAACTCGGTCAAACGCTGACAGTTGTCCCTCTGACTCATGATCTGTGGATTTCTATGAAATAAGGAAAAATAAAAAGTCACATCTCATGCACAACCAAAAGGAATTATGCATATGAAATAAATCACACATAGAGAAAACGGATGAAAAAGTTTGATGACTACACAATTAGCACCATGAGGTTGACCCATTCCTGAACTTTTCTTTCCAAATTTGGGACTTTCAGCACATTAATTAGCTAATTAGGGCTTATTTTCTTAGGAAATGTAAGCCATTATGTAAGCTTTGATATTTCACCAGATTTATGAATTAATATATATGAAGTGCAATTAATTTTCAGTGTGGTTAAGTGAGGAAGAAGTGATTTTAACTTTAAGCCTTGTGCTAGAATTTTAGACTTTGTTGGATCATGCATATAAATATCAGACAAGATTTTAGACTTTCTGCTTTTTTTTTCTTTACCTTAAACATATCAAAAATCAAAAAGCATGCATGCATCCAAGCGTTTTCATTTGACAAGAATTTTGAGAATGTGCTCTTCCGTTCTATTACAATTTTATAATTCTGAATTAGCTTAGAGCTTAATTTAGCATTTGTTAATTTAATGTTCAGTTAGTTTGTTAACTATGAGAGAGAGAGGAAAGGGGGGATTTTTAAGTACATTACATTGTAATATGTTAATGAAATTCAGGTTTTAAAACATTTGTTGTTGTCAGAGCACAACCATGCAAAGAATCTCAAAAAGAGTGATTCTTGTTTCATTTTCCTTTCAAAATATCTGTAAGTTATATAAATTCTCAATCATATGATAAACAAGTTATTAATTAAAGGCACAAATACAATTAAAACTTGATATCCTGATACCTTGGCATGTCAGAATTTTGGTATATGTCAACAGGAGTTTGGTTTTGATCTCATCATGATTATGAACCTCATCTTTAAAATCTCTATCTGGTATATCTCAAAGTTGTTTGAGATGATGTGGTTTGTTTTGATCAAGTTTCAGATTAATACTTTGAAATCACTTGAATAATTTCATGAGTAAAAAAAAAATTGTTCATGGACAACCACAATATTACTAGACATATAATTTTGTGGATAACTAATGTTTATTCAGAAGATTCAATGAACTAGCTGATACACTTACAAAACTATCTTTCATTGGGATGTAAATTCATGGGTAAGGGTGATCCATGAAATAGGTCCCCCTAGAACAATGACAATTCCACAGTATACTCCATAAAAAGACCAGATTTTGTGGGTTAATGTACCAGTCTAGTCAAGAGTATGTTGAATTTATATGGCAGTTTCTGTGTTTGATAATGATCTATGACTTTTTAGGGTATATCTAGGGAACCAACTTAGAAAACTTATCTTTTGAAAAGTGGAAAAGAGCAATATAAAATGAATCATTTTTATGTTTCAAATAAAAATTTAAATATTTAATGCAAGAAATTGATGTTACACTCACTCTCCATTAATTGTGGGGGGAGGGGGGGGGGGTAAAAAAAAGAAAGCTTACATTCTTGTGCTGTATTTTATTATTGTAAACTCTACCTTTGTGTCTCCCATTCTGAGAGGTGTGTTGCTGTCGTAGGTATTCTTACTGAAGGCTATTCCTGTCACACCTTCCTTTACAGCACTACAATGTACAGTCAATGTCAAGTTCTTCAAAGTCAAATTAAGGACACTCATACATGAAAATAAGTGAGGTTACCTAATACATGTAATAAAAGCATTTTAGTGTATGGAGAATGAACTGAGTAGTGCATGGTTGCTACATCTGTAACTCATTGTCTAGAAAAAAAAATCCACAGGATACAATAAAGACCTCACCAAGCTACAATTGTAAATGAAATTAAATCATAAATATGTCTAGGTCACATTGTTTGGGTATCGTAAACATGCCTTTAATAAAACTTATTTTTAAAGAATTATGTTGGTAGATCACACAACTATTGAGCTCAACATGATATGAATGGTTAATGTAAGATCAATTCAAAGATTAGATCATTGTCATTGAAAAGGTCACTTTCATAAAGTTCTAAATAATTAGAATTCTCTCATTGAATGTATCTGTTTAGTTAAATTCATGATGCGTTTCTAGATAAATGCACTTAATGAATAAGGTACATGTAATGAGCAAACAATGTCATCTGGCAAGTCAAGGTCAAAAGACTATGGCACAGTTGTAATGCTTTTACCACAATGTATTTGTGTATGATGGTAAAATGTTTGTAGTAATCCCACAGAACACTTGAAAAATAAGTGCAAGTAACAGATTGTGAGAATTGAGGTCAAGGTCACAGGAAACAGCAAGACCACAAAACTATGCTTAACTTGAATGCTCTAACTAAGATATATCTGAATATAAAGTTGTCTGAAGACATCCCTCTTAAAGTGAATCAAATGTAAACTCGGGAAAAATAAGGTCAAGTCATTGGGAAGGTCAAGGTCAGAAGATGTTTATTATAAACACTTTATTTGACCTTATCAGTATGTATTGATGTATGAAGCCTTGTGGGATTCTTTGTAAATAAGCTTAATGCTAAATGTAAATAGGAATGACTTAGAACAATTGTTGATTTACCTGTTTGGAAGTTGTCCATTTTTACTGGTGACTTTGACTCTGGACACAAACCACTGAAGATACTGGTCCTGTGGGAAATAACATGCACTATACTGATCTTAAACATCTATATGTATACATGTCTGCTTCTACCTTTACATAAATAATGCTTTTAGACAACTAACCATCTGTCTGTACCATAATTGTGTTCTTGTGTACAATTGATAAGAATTCCCCTATGTTCATTATGAATCAGTAAATTTGCCTTTTTTTATAACTAGAACCTAGAACCAGTCACTATAACCTGGTTCAATATAAATTGTTTCTACTATACCTGTACAGATATATTGTATAATAGACTTCTTACCCTAAGTATGACTACTTTGGCTTCAGCTAATGAGCACTTTGAATGGGTACACTTGATGAAGAGATGAGGAAACCAGTAAAAGAAGAGGCGAAGAAGACAAGCCGTGATGAGGATGAAGAACCAGACAATCACCTTCTTCAGCAGACTGGGATGGTAACCACTGATTTCCTGTAAATAAATCAGTCTCAATGACACTACAGAAACTGCCAGGGAAATTCTCCATTGGTCAATTCATACTCCCCAGCCTTCTGTATAAACTCTATTGTCTGTTACAATGTTCAAGACCAAGCACAGGAAACATCCATATCAAAAACAATGTTTTGTATACATGTACTAATAAGCTTCCATTTTCCAAATTCAAAATTGTGACCAAGACAGAGTTATAATTATTTTTTTTTCTGACAGTGACCTTGAACTTGTCTGTGGTGTTGGATTAAGGCCATAAAACCCCCTCAAGTCATATTAGCAATCTTTGTGTCAAGTATGAGCTAATCCAATGCTTTTCCATTACAGAATTATGGCCCATTGACACTATTACACAGAAAGAGAGATGGACAGTATGAATCCTATAGGGTATGTACAAACTTGAATCTACATGCAAAATCATATACAATGAACCCTTTTCCAAGCATTAATATTGTCTTTTTTGATGAGTGTTTCATGAAAAATGAACAATAATTCTACATTACCTTTTTTATAATGATGTGACTCTTACACAAAAATACATTTAAAACCCTTTACTCTTTCAATAGGAGCTCATACAAAAGTTTGGAAAAAATGGTTCAGTGAGTCTTTTAAAGAAGCAAAGAAAAGGTGAAAAGTTGAATGAGAATTTGCAATTTACCAATGTTTATTTTATGGTTCCTTTCTATTTGTACTCTAAATTTCTCATTGCTGGCCTTTTGAAGTCGGTAAAGTTCAGTGATACAAAAACAAGGATTTCTCATGTACGTTTTTTTTTAAATTTATTAAAATTAATAAATAAAGTCAAAACTTCATCAAGCCACTCTTAAAGGGAACTTAGTCACAATTAGGGAATACACATCTCTCATATAAGGTGAGGCAAGTTTGACTGGAAAGATCGACACTCACTGGTAAATTTGCTTTGCTGAAATACAGTCAAAAGAAAACTTTTGATCACATCCACAAATGGCTTTTACTTTGACAATATATATCTAATTGGGAACATATTATATTTACCATTTGATCCTCCTGTCCTGGGTTGACATATTGGTAGCCACTTTTCATAGGTGGGGGGCCTGACAGGCCCACTTTCACCTTCACCTCCTCTGATAAAAAAATGTCAAGTTTATCATTAAATCAATGGAAATTGTATCTATATAACAAGCTAATTCAGTAAAATCATGTCCCCCTACTTAAGGGGGGGAAGGGGGGAGGGGGTGAAAGAACACATAAAGTATGCCTTCATTATTGTTTGTGTTTGATTTCTACTTGGAATATGATCAAATATTGACATGCTTCATTGTGTGCCTTTAAGGTATTAAGATTAATTACTGACATTAAAAATGATCCAATTTCAAGGTTTTTAGTCATCATGTCTTGTTTAAGTGTTCATTCTCAATCACCAAGAATAAAACTATAATATTCTCAGAATTATAACAGTCAAAAAAAAAATAAACTGCATTTAAATTAAATTACAAAATTACACATTTGTAGGTAGTGCTTTCCATTAACAAGCATCCTTACATTCTGAGAGACTTCAACAAAATAATGTTAATATAAAGATCACTTTTGCATTAATAATTTGTTTCCATCTTTGGTGACATGTAAAATTCTGAGATGATATGTCTTTTAAATTTAAGCAGCTGCATGATCTTGACCAATGCAAATAAATTCAGTGAGTTTTAAAGTGATAGTTACACAATTGCAAAGTTACATACTTCCAATATATTTAAAAATTGGTGCTTTTAAGAAATAATTTATCTGACAGATTTTTTCTTTTTTTTTTTTTTGACAGCAAGAGATAAGAATTTTACAGACGACCAATACAAGTTGCTCAATTGATGTACATTCTAATAATTATTATCCCATTAACACTGTCAGTAAGAATCCTTTTAGTTAGGAAATGTCTTCACAGTGAATGGACCCCATTACTTCCTTTTAAATCTAATTTTCACCAAAAACAAAACTATAAATGCTGATTTTTTAACTAATATGTGAAAACTTACTTTGTTTTGTCATTCCCACAACATTTGGTTCACCTTAAACTTTAATTTACCTTCCCGTGACTATGTCCATATCAAATGACAGAATCTAAGGATCCATGTATTTACTGTATGGTACTGCATGAGTGAGCACATTCAGCCAAATGTATGTCTACATGCCAAAAATACGGGCTGTATGTATTACATTACCAAAAATGGTAATTTTTACAAACATTTCAACAAATAAATACGAGAAACATTACTTTAGCTATAATAGCAAATTTAAATGGCTATAGTTACATGCTTAGTTCAAGTCTGGCCAAGCATTAATTATTAGCCAGCATTCTCACTAAATGTACTTTATACTAGTAGTTCATTCCATTTCTGATCTTGATTGTATTTTCACACTATTCCTCAAAATATCATTTATGCTAATCCCATATTTGTTCAGTTCTTAAAAATTTATGAACATATGATCTGTTTGTGGCAGTCATTTAAAATGCATGCAAAATTTCAGGAAAAAGGCACAAGGTCCATCAACAACAATGCTCACCAGAGGTGAGCAAAATTCATCAGCTATAAATAGTTCTACTTAACTTCTATATGTACATGTATCATCATTTTCAATAAAGACTACAAGCCTCCGATTTCAACTGAAAGCATACTTTAACATTCTAAATCAAAATAGTTTGTGAGGTCAGTTACGTACAATCCATGACAACTTTTTTCTGCAATGTGTAGATCTCTAAGAGATTTTCAAAATTGGATATTGCGGAGGCAAGATATACCTATATACCACATACTGTTAAACCTCATTATCTCAAACTTGATGGGGCTGAGAAAAACCTCAAGATATCTGAGAATTCCAGATTTCAAGGTTTACATACTGTATGTGTACTTAAAAAAGTGGGCTTCATATTTTAGCGGCTTTGGTGCAGACAACGATGCGCTAATTCATGAATACCCCTAAGAAATCGTTTATAAATACAATATACGGCACAGACATGTAAAGCGCTAATTCATGATTTCGCCAACAACTCCATACCCAGTGACTGCGCTAAATTTTGAATATGCCAATTTATGTACACGTACAGTATATAAAGAAGAAGTGCATGGTTGGAACTTCCTGTTAACTTTAACATATCAATAGTATTTGAGATATTAATGTTCAAGATACTAAAGTTCTACTATATAATGCCCTTAGGTAATCTGCATTTTTTTGTTTTAGTTGAAAGAATAACAACTACTGGTACATGCACAGTCCTTTGACCAGCAAACTAAGAACAAATACATTGAATATCAAGTTTTGTGACTTCGCAGACATTCATTCGAAGCTATCAAGTGTGAACATTAAAACAGATTGATGTGCATGCACAGAGATAAGCCAAGTTCAGTTAAAAGGATCCAGTCCCGAGTTTCTTTGACTCGTCAATGGATACATCAGAAAAGTCAGTTTTTAAAATGTAACTCAGTACTACCCATCGGCACGTTTAGGGGAGGGGGGGTGGGCACACCCAGCATGCCCCAACCCCCTAAAATTGTCAAATTCAAGATAAATCATATTTTCATATTTAAAAAGAAATGAAGTGTTGGATAAAGGGGTAAAAATTAAAGGCTTTATTTCTACCTTGTCAGAGCTTCTCTAAGGGCTTGATTCCTTGGCTTTGTTTCTACAGACATCAAAATATTTGTTGTTTTATCAGCATGTTGAAAAGAAATAGTAAAAAATGTCTACAAAGAAATTTAACTTCACCTTGATGTTTGCCCTACTAATGAAACCTCAAGAATCCATGAGCTTCCAGAGATTTCATTCCCTGGGTCCCCACCAGGATTCTGTCCTGGACCCACCGGGGACCCTGTCTAATCAGCTAGAGCCCCCTTAACTACAAATCCTGGATCTACCCTGAAGTAGCCCAGTTCTTGGACAGTCATCTTTGTCATTTATAAGTCTTTATCTTTTATATCTGTAGTAGATCGAACTATTTAAGCAGTATCAATAAGGGTCACTACATGCTATAAACAAATTATTGTTCTACTGTCACACGATTGTGTTGTTTTTCTTTGAAGTTTGCTGTTCTGTATTAGCAATACAGAATGGAAATGCATGTGAGTTAAGGCTAGGTATAGGCGTTTCTAAGCAAATGAGCTAATAAAAACGCATAAGAGGTATATTTATTATTCAGAGAAAGTGTTGATTTATTTTCTTATGCATACTTAGTACGCAGGATATGCTATAGCCAGAGCACATTATGACGTCATATTATGACATCACTGATCTTACCTACTGGAGGTTATGAAAAACATCAACAAAACAGCTTCGGCGCAAGGGATTATCCTATTTATTTTTACATAAAAATTGTATAATGCTAAGAAGAATATTCTATAGATTAATAAAAATACTGCACAAATCCTAGGCATTTTCTCATTTGATCGGAATTTGAGGAAACTTATACCAGACTGTACATTTTTACCCTTATTCAACTTAAAACTTTACAAATAGAAATTATACAGCTAAGCTGTTGATATTTGTGCAGCAATACCAGCAAACTTTGGAATATTTTGCTTCTAAATATACCTTGTTTCAGTTAAATAAAATAGAGCATGCCCTTGCGCCGAAACATTTTTGTTGATATCCATTATAATCTTGCGTAGTAAAGAACAAGGACGTCATAATATGATGTCATAATGTGTGCTGGCTATCTCATGTCGTGGGTACCAAATATGTAGTAGACAATAAGTTTTAACTTTCTCTGTATAATAGATATAGTCCTTAGGCCTTTTAATTAGATTATTTGCATAGAATTGCCTATACCTAGCCTTAACTCACCCGCGAATACAGTGGGCGGAACTATTTTCCGTTCTGTATTAGCTCTGTATACTGTCTTGTATTAGCCAACTGTTCTGTAACAACGCCCTCTACCAACGGACCGTGCTGGCTATGGAGAGCCTCCTAGTGGGAGCACGGTCTAAAAACTAAAAATAAATCTGATTCAATTTATCAAAAGCACGTATAAATAGTAAATGCTGATTTTTTTTCCTATTATAAATTTGAAGAAATATTTCCTTAGGAATGTAAAATGTCAAAATTTCTCAATCACTTTTAAAAAAATTATTCCACACAGAATCTACACGTTATTTCGATCCAAACGAAAAGGAAAAGTCGCAATTATGGAAAACATCCTATGTTGGAGAAATTCTTGAAAACCTGTTTGCTTTCCCTGCTTTTTGTGTCCCCTTCATTGGCTTCAAAATAGTAAAGCCATTGGGTTCGCGGATGCAGCATACATTACGTGAAATTCGCACTCCCCCTCCCCCCATTTTCCACTCTTCTCGTGTAAACTCAATCAAGTGTATTTTTCAGGATTTTTTTTTTAATTTCATCTTGAATCCTTATCGCTGATGACTGCCGCACATCTCTTTCACTTCGTTTTTAATGTCGCATTTCAATAAGAAAATAAAAATCCATAACATCAAAGTCCATCGAAAAACTGTCTGTATCGCCTGTATGTGTATCTATAAGTTAACTGAGATTTTAAGACCCCTGAAATAAATTCAGATCAATCTCCATTTACAACAAGGTTAAATCGTCCATCTTATCAATTAATGCCCTGTTCACACGGAGAGTTTAATTCGAATTAAACGTAAGTTACTGCGAATTAAATTTGATCCTCGTTTACACGAAGCATTTAATGCGAATTAGTTGAATTTGAATTAATTTAATGCGCACTAAATTACTTCGCATTAGCTCCATGTGAACACTAAGCGAAGCTAATTCAAATTAAATTTTGACGCATGCGTAAGGGCAGAATTAAGTCAAATGCCACATGTCAGTGGTCAAATATAGGTATTTGTGCTATTTTTGAGTGGAAAACAAAGGAAAACTATGTTAATCACAAAAAACTGTACAGACACTATGAAATTATATATTCGCATCAATTTACTTCGCATTAATTTAATGCGAATTAAACTCTCCGTGTGAACAGGGCATAAGACTGACTTCGAGTCTGTTACGTCTACCCCGTTGTCAAAACTAATCTGACTAAATCTTACGTTGTCCGTGAAAATATATATATACTGCGGATGTATACTCCCCGTCGAGGCCTCATCTACAGAAAGAACAAACAAACTCT